CTCTACAAAAAAATACAAAAATTAGCCGGGCATGGTGGCACCTGTAGTCCTAGCTCCTTGGGAGGCTGAGATGGGAGGATCACCTGAGCCTGGGAGGCAGCAGCTGCACTGAGCCATGATCACACTACTGCACTCCAGCCTGGGTGACAGAGTGAGAACCTGTCTTATTAAAAAAGAAAAAAGAAGAAGAAAGAAAGAGAGAGAAAGAGAGAGAGAAGGGAGGGAGGAAGGGAGGGGAGGGGAGGGGGAAGGAGGGGAGGGGAGGGAACTATATTGTTTATAATTAGGGAGGTAAATGACAGGAGTGTTTGAAGTGGTCACCTCTGGGGAGGTGGGAGAGGCGAAGCAAGGAGCACCGTTTTTCATTACGCATATTCTATCAACAGTTAAATACTTTAAAGCATGACCATGAACTCCTTTGTCAAAAATGAAATATTTTAAATAATTTAAGATTATTTATATAATTTTTATAGCCTTGTTCTGACATTTCTTCATTTTTCAATATACTGGGAGCCTCAAAGAAACCAGTGGGCCTGGCCCCTGTTGGCCTCTGAGCTGTGGCCCCCCCACAGAGAAGGGGAGCACTGTTTACTCTTGTCCTGTCTTGGTTGGGCTAGACCCCCGGGGCTTGCAACCTGGGTGGGGTCTTGAGCCCTGCAGGGGGAGTGGGAGAGGGCCACAGGACCCGAGCTGACTGGGGAAGTCCTGAGCCAGCCAGGCCTCCCAGCCCTGCCCCGCACGCCGCAGCCACTGCAGCTAATAAGGCCCTAGGGAGCTGGCAGGGCCCCTGCCTTGCCTCAGGGCTCCAGATGCTGCCTCCCTCCCACTCAGGTGCCTCAGCTCCAGGCCCCAGAGACAGGATGGCACTCCCTTGCAGGCATGGTGCCCCTCCCCAGCCCCACACCTCAGGAGTGCTCCCCAGCGTGCCTCCCCAGGGAGGCCTGGATGGCTCAGCACCCCATACCTCCCATGCAGAACCCCAGGCACTCCGCCAAGCCCCAGAGCAGCTCTCCCCACAAGCCCAGAGTGCCACCTACAGTGCAAGTGGCACCTTGCCCTGGACCCAGGTAGAAGAATTCATTAATCTCCTCAGCAGAGGCCTCCAGCTTCTCCTCTGCAGAGGCCTCTAGCTATTTAATTGCTGGAATGAAAAGGTTTCCCATGAAACCCAACACTCAGCCCTCCCCACCAAGAGAATGGAGATTCCTTATCCCAGCAGGCCTCAGCTGGTGTCAACACCCGGGGTCTTTGGAGTTTCATAGCTGGGGCTCCCTGAGCAGAAAGCCTCCCTGCCTCCACTCAGGCACACGTACCACACGCTGGTACACACAGGTACCGTACAAATACACACCCATTCGCTCATAGGTACTCACGTGTGCCCTTAAGTGTACAAGCACACGCGTGCCCAGCTGCCTTTTGGCCCTGCAGGAGTCCACTCCTGTGTAACGAGTGTGTGCGCTGCCAGCATATTTGCACAGCAACACCCCTCACACCCACGTGCACTAGCAGGGTACTTTCCAAACTCCTTTAGCATGAGCAGAATCCTTTGGTTAAGGGAAGTATGAAAAGCATACACCTAATGTATGGACTAAACATGGTGCTTGCAACGAAGGTGAGGGACGCAGAGCCTGTGCTCAAGGCCATGCCTGCTTAGCCCCTTCCCCAGCCCACCGGGAGGAAAGCAGGAGTCTGGTGTGGTCGTCGCTTGACCTCTCTTGCCCAATGTGGGGGGCGGGGCAGGTCTGCCTGAGCTCACTCAAGGGGAGGGAGGCAGGATGTGTCCTCAAGCTGCGTAGGAGGCCATGGGCTGTGGGGGCTGCACCCTGGACTTCTCCCTTCATGTCGCCCCTCCCATCCTGCCTGTGCAGCCCCTACCCCTCATCCCAGAACACACTGATTTTTGGTTTCTGGGGTTTGCGGCTCCCTCTCCTGAGCTTCCTAGCTTACCAACTGTGGTGATGCTCCATATCCAGGACTGCCCACTGTAGGCAAAGGGAGGGGTCTGAGGTGCTCCCCGCACATCCCGGGCCCCACAACCCATCTCCCCTGCCTCTAGGTCAGAAGAGTGAACAGGGAAAGCAGGAAGCAAGCCCATGGTGGAGAACGCCCCAGGGAGAAGGAAAATGTTTCTCTGGGACCACAGTCTGCCCACTTCAGGGTTCTGGTTGCCAGGGGCAGAATCCTGCTCCCCAAGCCCAGCCTACACATGTCCCTCCCACGGGAGCTGCACAGGCTAACCCTTCCCCCTGCTCCCACCCCAGGGACTCCAGATCTCGTGACTCCAGAACCAGGGCCATGCCCAGCTGGCCATGCCAGGCAAGGGGGAACTGGCACATCCCCTGGCCTACAACCCTGTCCCCCTTGACCTGCCAGGGAACATGCATGGCGGCAAGCAGGGCACCGCGCTGGCATCACAGCACTGCTGGGTGCCCCTTCCCTTCACCAGGCACCTCCTATCTGCCTACCACTCCCTGCTTCCAGCCTCCAGCAGAACAATTAGGCCTGAGTAAAGCCCATTAACCTCCTCTGAAGGTGGCCATGCTGACCCCCTCCTCAGCCAGCTGCACTGCCAAGCCTGCCCACAGAGGGCCTCTGCGGGGCTTTCTTGAAGTGAAGAAGAGGCAGGTATGCCAAGCGAAGACCAGGGAATCTCAGCTCCTGAGTGCTTGAGGAAAGCCGAGCTGTTTCCATGGCGGCTGGTACCAGGGGGACTAGAGGCCAGGGACCCCTGGCTGGGATGCCAGGGTTCCACAGTGCTTTTATCATGATGTTAGGTGGCTGTCCCCAGGTCCCCCTGCAGAAAACAGAGCCTGGTGCCCTGGGGAGTAGGCAGCGTACATCTGGATACAAGCCTCACTCTGGGCCAGTCCTCGAAGGGGGAGACAACCAGGGAACTCTCCCACCCACACGGAGTGGCATTCCCCTTTTTGGCACGCCCAAGGGAAGGAGAGGACTGGCCTGGCTCCTCTGTGGTTGAACAAGGGTTAACCTCCACCAGTGCCCTATATTCCCCCTGGCCTGCATCCAGGGCAGGCAGTGTCCATTTCAAGGAGACATTAACTCACTGGGGCAGGGGTAGGGGTGAACCTGGGACCTTGTTTCTGAGGCAGCCAGAGGGGTGGGAGAGAGAAACACATGAGCAGCCCCCAACACCTCTACCTGCAGCGGCTCCAGTGCCCCTCACCCCAGCAAGATGGCCACCCACTTCAGGACTATCAGCAGAGAGGCCTGCTGGAGAAGTCTTTTCTCCCAGGGCACTCTGCCTTTCTCCAGTCTCTGCAGTAAAAGGACCACCCACCCGCAGGCAAGGGAGTGGGACTGAGGCATTCTGGAGATTCAGCATTTTGCCTAGTGATCCTTGGACCCCTGGGAAGTTCTTCCCACATGAGGCTTGTCTTCTTTTGCTTTCAGAAAAGGAAAGCAGAAAAGAGCCAGCAGAGGGTGGCTGGCCTTGTCTTAGCACTCTGCACATCACCTTGGCATTCCCTGTTCATACTTGCTTCACCAGAACAGAGACTCCTTGAGGGCAGGGGCTGGTGCCCTGTTTGTTCATCTGTTTCCCCGGGGCACTGTAACCCACTCTCTTTAACAGGCCTCTCGTGGCTGCAGAGCACTGCCTTTATGATAAATAAACAGAGACAGAGTCTGAGGAGTTCAGTCCAAGGAGAAACTTGGAGAGTGCTGGCGTAAGCACAGGTAACAGGAAGTGGTCACCCAGACCCGCCCAGAGGCTTGCAGGCACAGGTCACTTGGATATCTACAGGGACTGCCATGCAGAGCTGGATGCCGTACAGGCCTCGGAGCTGGTTCAGCGTGGGACTTCAGAGACACATCCTGATCCCCAGCCTGCTCAGTCTGATGACCTGCCCTCCACCTCCATGCTTCCCTTGGCGATTGCACAGCTCCTCAGACTGAACTTCTCCTGACTCAAGAAGTGGCCCTCAGAAGGTAAATTCCCACAGCGGGCAACTGCGCTAACCACCCCCAGCCCATGGTACCAGGGTCTCAGACCCAGACTGAAACTGGGGTTCTCAACCTGCAGCAACCCATGGGGCCTGGGCCCAGCTCTGGCTTCTGCTGCCCACCCTGGAGTGGGGGTCATCTCTGCCATGAGTGCCTACCTGTGGCCTGGGTGCCAAGGGCAGAAGTGGCAATCTGTGACCTGTGCCTGCCTTTGTCCTGAAGCATGGCCAGAGGACATCCCCCTTTCCCGTGTTCTTGGAGACCACTGCCCAGCCCAAAGCTGGTGACCCACGTGGTCTTACTGACCAGCAGAAACCAGGGAGCCCACCTCGTGTGCAGAACCTCAAGTCCTTCCAGCAGCCAGGGCCCCCCAGCTTCCTCTGTGCCTAGAAGCCAGGCCCCAGCACCAGAGGGCAGGAGAGCGCTTTTCAGCACCTGGACAAGGCCCTTGGGGCCTCCCAAGAGGGTCTTTCTCCACTCCCCGTTCCTGAGCTGGGGCTGGGGTCTGAGGGATCCAAGGATCTGCTCAGTTTGAGAGCTAAAAGAGAAAGCGCTCACCGTTGGGGAGAGGGCGCTGGGTGGGGCTGGGATGCCTGGGAGTGTGACACAGCCTCTTCCCCATCCTTGACCTATGGCCCCCTCCCCACGCAAGCCTTTCCCACCTCCGCACCCTTATTCGGGAGGTGTCGCTGCTCCACTGGCTGGGGCGGACTCTCCCACCACATGGAACACCGACCCAGCCCGCAGCCCCTCCCTGCAGCCCTCACTGCCCCGGCGGAGGAGGGGCACCGTGGCCCCTACCCCCATCCAGGAGGGTTGGAAACACATGTGGTCCCGCCCGTCCCGGCCAGAGGGGAGTGGGCAGGGCCCGCTCCCATCACCCTTTCCCGGTCAACAAGCACAAAAGCCGCGGCCGCAAACAAAGACGCGCCGCAAACTCGCCGGGGAGGCGGGACAGCCCGCGCCGCACCCCCTCCCCTGGCCGGACGGGCGTGCCTGGCCGTGGGGTCCCCGCGGCGCCCCGACGGCGCTCCTACCTGGCCGGCGCGGACCTCCTTCTCCAGCTCGCGGTGGCGGTTGTACCACACGAGGTAGTGCAACGGGTATTTGCCCTCGGGCCCCTTCCTGGCGGAGGCGTTGGCGGGGATCATCGCCCGCTCCTCATGCCGGGGCCGCGGCGCCCGGCCGGGGAGGAGGGACGGCGCCGGAGCCGGGGCCCGGGGCCGCGGGGCTGGGGGCCGGCGCTGCTTGCTCGCGGGGCTGCGGCTCGGGCATGTGCGAGCGGCGGCGGGCGGGGGCGGCGCGCCCGGCGCGGTGCGGGCGGCGCGGGCGACGGGCGTCCTCGCGAGGCGGCGGCGGCGGCGGGTGGCGCGGAGAGGCCCCCACCCGCCCTGGGAGGGAGCGGGCACTCGGCAGCGCGGCGCGGACTCGCGCTCGCCTCCCACACCCCCGCACACAAAGACGCGGCTCGACGGAGGGAGCAGGCGCCCGCAGCGGGCGCGGGGGCGCACGGGGCGCGGGCCCCGGGGACGCCGCCGCAGGGACGCGCGCCCGCAGCCCCCTGCTCCCGGCAGCTGCATAGCCCGGCCCTCAGCCCGAGCGGCCGGCGAGGGATGCGGGGATGATGGGGAGAGAGGAAGGGGACCGGGCGCCCCGGGTAGAGCTTGTCAGCTCAGCCCCGCGGCATCATGGGGCTTGTAGTTCGCCTCGTGAAACTGGGGGTGGCAGGTGGCCGGAGAGGGTCCGCACTGTCCCCGGATCCCGTGGGAGAATGGGCGGGGAGTCAGGCCTGGCCCAGACGCGGGCAGGGCCCTGACGCCAGGTGGGCTGGGGTGCACCTGCCCCGCTGGCATTTTGCCTTTTGCTGGGGAAGGAGGGGCACGGGCCTAGTTCGAGCGTTTGGGAGACGGTGGAGGTGTAATCTTCAGAATTGAGCTTGGGTCCCAGGGGCCTTGAAGAAGAATCCGGATTCCCAGAAGACAGTGACTGATGGGGGGAAACTCCTGAGAAAGATGTGGGGCATCAGTACCAGGGGTCATTGGCGCAGCCAGAGGTCTGGCCCCTGGAACATTTCTGAGGAGTCTTCCCTGCCCTGTTAGAAAATTAAACTCCATCTTCCCACACGTCATTGGAAACAGAATGTCCAGTAAGGCGGGAAAGACGGTCCTTCCCCCCAGACACACTGTCCCCAGCAAGAACCAGAGTGAAGTTGGACAGAGAAAGCAGCAGGTGGCAGCTTCGCTCCTCCACCCAGCTGGTCCCTCAGGAAGGGAAGTGACTGATTCCAGAGACTGTCTTCTTCCTGAATGACCCCAGGGCGAAGAGGTACTTCCAGAACAGTCCCTGCAGAGGGTGTGGTAAAAGTTGAATTGGCCTCTCGGCGCCAATTGCAAGGCCTGGAAGGACCAAGAGGCTTGGACCAGTCCCTGGAGGGAGGGGACTGTGATGTCAGAGAGACCAGAGTTCGAATACCTCCAACTGCCTGACCTTAAAAGAGCAAACTGCTTAATTTTTCCGACTTTCTCGGTCCACTCCCCTTCAAAATGAGACTCTAGATACTACCTCCTGGGTTGAGCTAAGGATAATGACTGCCCTGGAAACAGCGCCTCCCTCCCCCAACCAGGCGGGCCGAGACAGGTGGCGGCACCAGGCACGGTGCCTTCTTGAGCCCACCTCAAAACAAGGCAGGAATAAGGGATTCCACACCGGCCCTACTTAAAACAACAATCCAAGAAGTATTTGTGTGGGAGGTGCCAGCAAAAGCTTGCAAACTCTCTCAGGTTTCTTTGTGTGGTCTTCTCTCCTTCCTCCTCCACACCCTGCGGTGCCAGGCCCCGGCGGGAAGAGATGAGGGAGGAGCGGGCTGCCTCGCCCGTTTCTCCCGCCTGGGAGGAGCCAGCTGGCTTCTCTGGCGGCCCGGGACCGCTGCCCGCCTGCACCACCAGGGGTCAGCAGAGTGTCGTGGCTGCAACTGGTGCAGGGGAGGGGGGCTGTCGCGGGGGAGGGGCATCTAGGAGTGGCCGGGAGCATGCCAGTGCGTTTCCTTATTAAATTGTCTTTCGAACCTTGTATGTGATTCCACTGTAGCAGTCCTGCTTCCTGGGGTGGTGACATCTCCACGGGTGAATCCAGAAACCCTTTTATCTCCAGTCCCAGGCCCAGAAGTTTGGCTGTGACGGGGCTGGGGGAAACAAAGTTTGGACGGTGTGTCCGCGCCGGGGCCACTCCCAGGTAGCCTCCGAGCCAACCAGGAGATGGGGAGTGGGGCTGCGGGGGGTTGGTAAGCAGAGTGAGTCATCCTTCTTCCCCAGCAAAGCCCAGGAGTCCGAGGACAGGGGGAGTTGTGGGGAGGTGTCGATTGTGGGGAGCTGTCCCCTGGGCGGCCGGGTTCTTTTTTTGCCAGGCGGCGGTAGACACTGAACCCAGGTCGCTTGCGCTTCGCCTGCGCGCTCAGCTGCCACGTGCTCGAGACGCGCCCACACAGCGGAGAAACAAAGACAGCCAAGCGGCAGGGCTGCCAACAGCCTCCTCGACATTTAATAAATGAAATTCCATGGCTGGGGGTCCACCGGGGGTGAACGGGAGGCCACCGCTCGTGGACTGAGCGCCCGGCACCGGCTGCCTGGCCACTCCTTCCGTCTCACTCCCCCCGCCCCTTACCCCGTTCCCACTGGGGCCACCAAAGCCCATGGATTCTTTGGTTAGAGAGCAGCTCGGGGCGGCAGGTAGTACTCCTCCCTACATAGCAGCTAGGTATCGTTGCTTGCAAAAGCCCCACCAGCTGAGCGGCTGGCTGTCTGGGGAGGGGAGGCCTGCAAGATTTTTTTAAGGTGCAATTATAAATAAAGCCCATGGATCGCGATTTCAAACAAACTTGTCGATCCGGGCCGCAGCAAAAGGCGATGGAGGCAGCTTTGCATGTATTTCGGGTGGTGTGACTCATGAGAATTACTTGTCTCCCCTAGGGAAGGAGCCTGCCCACCCACAAGTCACTGCCGCTCTGGCACCGCTGGGATAAATCGACCAACTTGAGCACCCCTGCCAAAGGACTGCCCCCATCTGTTACCGAGCAGGAGTCTCTGACTTCGATAACCCCTCCTCAATAGTCACCACTGACCTGGCCCCCAGGTCTGACCCTGGGGACCTCTGCCCTCTCCCCACAAGCAGAGTGCCCGGGCTTTTTGCTGCTGCAGGGATTGGGGGTTGGGTGCACGCGCGGCACACGTGTATGGGGGAGCATGCTCAGTGCGGGGGCTGTGCTCATGTGAGGCCTCCAACTAGGCTCCCTGCCCCCCAGCCCACCCACGTCCCTCACCTGCCTTGCCTTTGCCTGCCTCTTCGTGTGAAGTCCAGGAAGAAAGGCTGTCACCTGAAACGGCCCCTCTGTGTTATATGCACCCTTTCTGGACGCACACACCTCTGGTGGCCCAGAAACACCGTGTGTATAAGACGGATGACAAGTGGATTTGAGTGCACACAGGCACAGTGGTCACTCCTTGGGAGGTCTTTAAAAACCGCCCAGATTCCTCTCTGGATGGAAGCATGCATGGAGAGAGAGATATATTTTTAGTCCAGAGGCAGGGGAATACACTGCCTGACCTTTCTAGCACCTGGGCGTCCATATTGTTGGCAATGAGCGTATTCAGCAAGAGTGTGACACACACACACACACACACCTGGACACACAGATGTGGACACCTACAGGACCGGGACGCACACCTCACCCCAACCAGAGATAAAAGGGTACCCCAAGGCACAGCCCCTTTGACCTGGAGCGGGACTTGGGCCTCCAAGTCCTTCCTGCCTAATCCCCGCCCTCGCCGTCCCTGGGCCCAGCGTCCCCCGGGCCACCCCACGCGGAAAGTGAAGGGGAGGGGGCTGTGAGGGTGACTCACATTGCCTCCGGGCCAGGCGAGCGCCGCAGCGGAGGCCAGGACCGCAGGCCCCGCTGCCCGCCGGGGCCGGGCATTAGCCGCGGCCCCTTTAAGCGCCCCCGCCCCCTCCCGCCCGCGCCCGGGCTTCCTTTCTCCAGGGGGCGCGGCCGGGAGCGCGCGGCGGGGCGGGGGTGCGGCCCCTCCCCTGGTGGGCAGGGCCTGCGCCGCTTCCTGCAGGAGCGGCCCGGAGCCGCGCAGGGGGCGGAGAGAGGAGTCGCGAGCGGCGGCGGGGCGGCGCGGGGCGGTGCGGGGCGGAGGGCGCCCGAGGGCGAGCGGGCAGGCGGGCACGGCGGGTTCCGGGCCAGCCCCGGGGCGGACGGTTGGCCGGGCGCGCGGAGCCTCGCCGGGGCCTCGCCGGAGCCGGGCCGGGCAGCAGGGGCCGCCGCCGCCGCCCGGGCCCGCCGCCCGCGCCCCCCACGCTGGCCCAGAGGGCTGCGGCCGCGTCGCCGCTGAGGATGTCCCGAAAGGGGCCGCGAACGGAGGTGTGTGCGGACTGCAGCGCCCCGGGTAAGCGCGGCGGGGCCGGGGGCGGGACCGCACAGCCAGGCCGCCGCCGGGCGGGCGCCGGGGCCTGGCGAGAGCGCCGTGCGGGGCCGGAGGGCTGGGCTGGGCTGCGCTGGGCGGGGCGGGGGGCTGCGGCCTCCAGGCTCGGCCCCCGCCCGGGCCACTGCGGAGCCGCGTCCTTGGCGGGAGGGCTGTCCTGGGGGGCTCATGCTCCCTGGAGGCCGTGGACGAGCGAGGAAGGACTTTCCCGGCGCCGCCTCCCGCCCCTCGGTCTGAGGGAGGCGGGCAGCTGGCTGCCCCTCCACCTTCATCTCTATCCGACGGAAGCGCCAGCCTGGGGTGGCAGGAGGGCAGTGGCGGAGGCCGGCAGGGCTTGGGAGGTGGGGGCGAGTGTGGTTTTGTGTCATCTCAGTGCCACCCCCGCGTCTTGCACCTGCTGCTCGCGTGGTCGGCACGCCTGCCGGGGTGGTGGAGGGCAAGGAGCAGAGGGCCGGGCAGATGCGCCAGAGGGGCCTGGATACCGTCTCCTCAGGAGCAGATGAGCGGTGGCTACTCTCAGGACTCCCTGCCGCGGGTTCCTAAGGCTAGCGCTTTTTTGCGGGGCCTGGCGTTCAGGGCCAGTTCAGACCCGGGTGTCTTATCGGGAGGCATCCCCAGGCCTGCTGGTGGTGACTGGGAACAGCTCGGCTGGACCCTGCTGTTCCTATTCACCGGTAAGGGCCGCTTGGGAAAGTGAGCTTGGCATCAAGCTATCCTGGGCCCCGGCCCCTCCCTGTCCCCTAGCCCAGTCTGGCGAGAAATGGGTGGGAGGCAGTGCCTAGATTCCCCGCATCCTGCTGGCTTCCTGGCCTGCCTCCTGGCTGTATTTACATGGTGGTTCCCTTCTTTTTCCTAACAGAGTCAGGACTGGGCTGGAGTGAAACCCCCCAGGCCTGCTGAGGAAGTCAGGGGTAATGATCCAAGAGTCTGCTCCCTTCTGATGGGGGAGGACAGCCAGTGACTGGGCTCTGCAGCTGGCCTGGGAAGGAAGCTCTAGCCCCCATCCATTCTTTCTTTAGAAAAGGAGCTATCTCCCTAGTAGGCCCCTGGGCAGGCTTCGGAGGTCTGTGAACTCTAGCGGGGCTGTGGGCATTATTAAGAGTGAGAGTATGGGGTGCTGGTTTGTGGGTCCATAACTTTCAGCCACCCCTTGAGCAAGCCCAGGACCCCACAGGTTGAGCCTCACAGATGCTCTGGTGGTTCTGGGGGTGGTGCCAAACTAGACTGTTTGGGAACTGTGACCCAGCAGGGCTTGGGCACAAGATACTCTCCTCCTTGGGGCTTTTGGTTTAGAGGGCCCTGGGGTTGAGGGTCCATACCCCTAAGAAACTATGACTCCCTTCCCCCAACTGCAGGCAGGTCTGGGGATGGCAGGGCTGAGGGCACACCTTGCCTTATAAATGTCTGCCCACTGTTCCGCACCTCCATGGGGTGAGCATGGCATGCATGTGGAGGAGAGGCTTAGCAGGCACCCTGTCGGGGAAGCCTGGGGCATAGTGTTGCCTTTGTTCCCAGGTTACTCTGTAACCCCAAAAAGACTTTCCTCACTGTGGGGGCCTCAGTTTCCTCAATTAGGAGGCAAAGAAGTTGGAGTAGAAATGGTTTCTGGGGGGGGCTGTGATCTGATTCTGGGGTGGAGGGGTGAAGGGCAGCACCAGCAAGGCAGCAAGGCAGTTGTCCTTTCTCTGTTGCATTGAATGTCATCCAAAGCCTCTGGATGCCCAGTGGGCTCAGGGAGGAATGGTGGGCATCAGATGTGTTGGATTGCCCAGCTCCTACTCCCAGGTCCTCATCCGTCAGAGGAATTTGTGCCCCAGATGACTCTCTTCCCCTGATACACAATAGAGGTCAGGAAGGTGGTGAGAAGGTGAGGATGGTGGGGTGGGGAGGATATGGACAGTCTTACACATCAGCCCCCCTAGCACTCAGCGAAGTGTCCAGCACATGGCAGGCACTCCCTGAGTGTCTGGCTTCTTGTCAGGACCCTGGCTGGCTGCTTGGGACTATCCCACACCTGGACCCTAGGATGCTGGCCCTGGCATGCAGCGGCGTGTTTGGTCTGGGTCCTGTGGCATCTCAGGCAGAGAGGCATGAGGGTACCCAGCAGTCTGGAGTCCAGATCCAGTGCCAGCCCCGTGGTGTATCGCTCCACCCCAGGGTCACAGCCTTCTTTTATTGTGATAGGAGCCCTGCAGTCCCAGCCACAGGAGTGGGGCCAGGGACTTTTTGTGTTTGGTTAATTTGGGGAGTCATGGAGGTCAGAGGTGAGATGCAGCCTGCCCCCAGAGAGCCCCATCCTCCCTCTGCTCCCGGGCCTGGGCACACCGGACAAGTGCGAGTGTGTTGATAGGCAACTGGACATGGCGTGGCTGCTCTGGCAGCTTGTGCCATCTCGTCAGGCACCGTGTGCATTCCTGCCTGCCTGGTGAGTCCAAGAGAGGAAGGGGGCAGGGAGCCCTGGAGAATGCGCATTTTCCCCTTTCCTTTGCCTTGGCCCACCTTGCCACATGGTCTCAGTCAAGCGCCTCTCCTCACCCCATGAGTTTCTATCTCAGCCTTTTCCACTTTGGCAGCCCTGGGGG